GCAACAACGTTAACAGCAGCAACAATGCAACAACAACAACAACAACCATTCTACTTAGAACCAGCAGACTACATAACAGATGACAATACGGACATGCTAATAAGTTCGGAACCACTAAACAACCCTAACCCTAACCCTAACCCTAACCCTAACCCTAACCCTAACCCTAACCCTAACCCTAACCCTAAACCCTAACCCTAACCCTAACCCTAACCCTAACCCTAACCCTAACCCTAACCCTAACCCTAGCCCTAACCCTATCCCTAACCCTATCCCTAACCCTATCCCTAACCCTATCCCTAACCCTATCCCTATCCCTATCCCTATCCCTATCCCTAACCCTAACCCTAACCCTAACCCTAACCCTAACAGCTAAACTAAACTAACTTTAATCGCTAAATATTAACCCTATCCAGTGAAAGAAAAGACTACCTATGAACGATGACAAAAAACCAAAATGAAATCAGTTAATGTAAAAGAAATCAACAGCACCAGTAAAAGAGAAGTGAGAATGGCGGTGAAAAGCCAAAATAACAGCAACTTACCAGACATCAGCAAAAAAAAAAGATGAAACACCAACATGACGCAATGGCACCAACAAAAAGAAGAGGAAAGACGCCAACACCAGTAAAATAACGACGCGACGACACTAGAAATCGACGACAGCAAGCTTTAGATACCAAAAAGTCAAAAAAAACAAGCAAAATATAAATAAATAAAAAAACTTATCATTGCATATATACTGTATATGTGTCGACTAAAAAATAAAAAAAATAAAAATAAAAATAAAAAATAAAAAAAGCAAACGAATAAAAAAAGCAAACGAATAAAAAAAGCAAACGAATAAAAAAAGCAAACAAAAAAAAAAGCAAACAAAAAAAAAGATAAAAAAAGGTTTGTTGTACAAAATAATCCCATCACGCGTGCGGACAGACAAAAAATTTCCAAATTATGCTATTGAAACATTTAGTCTTGATAACTATGTTGATGCATCAAAAAAGGTAATTTTCACAGGAAAAATGCATCAAAAACGTAACTTTTGTATCACATAGTGCATAAAAATTAACTGTCCATTGCTACACTAACAGGAGGAAATGTACCCGATCCAAAGTGAATCCCACACGCGGTGTGATCAATTAAAATTAAAATTATTTATTTTAGTTTTAATTGATATTATCCTAAGTTAATATTAAATTTTTTTTATCTCTTAATACTAAACAATATGTAATTTATAATATATAAAATAAATTACAAGATAAAAAATATTTTTATTTATTTTAATAAATTTTTTAAGAACTATGGTGCAGGAAATCTATACTCAACGGTTACACGAAGTGTTTCAATTTTTTAAATAGTTATAACTTTTTATCTAAGAGGTTTTAAAAAAATCTGACCGGTAACTTTATAGAGCTATATTAGCTCTACATATATGCCAAATATCTTTTCAAAATCTCATCACTGTAAAGAGTTGATGCGTTTTAAAAATTGAAATTTTATATGTAAATTTATAAATTTATATATAAAATTTCAATTTTCAAAACGCATCAACTCCTTACAATGATGAGATTTTGAAAAGATATTTGGCACATATGTAGAGCTAATATAGCTCTATAAAGTTACTGGTCAGATTTTTTTAAAACCTCTTAGATAAAAAGTTATAACTATTTAAAAAATTGAAACACTTCGTGTAAACATTTAGAGCTTTTAAATAATCTATTTTTTTGATCAAAAAATAACTATTTCTTGTCTTTACTAAAGTTACAATTTAAAATATTAATTAAAAAATTATTCATTTTATTTTAAAAATTAAATATCATAATGGATATTATAAATCTTTAATTTTTTAAACCTTACTATTATAACTAATTTAAAAAAATGGATATTATTTTAATTAAAAGAAATTTAATAGTTGATAATGATTTATTAATTTTTATTAGTAACCCAATCATATCTATATCTAAAACATCATTGACTTTGAAACGTTAGATAGTTCACACTTAATATATTAATCCAAATACTTAATAAACCTAAATCTGTGCACTTACAAGAAAATGCACAACTGATGTTTTTGAAAATAAGTTTTTTGATCAAAATATTTGCAATGAGTCATAACAAAAATCATTGATATCAACAATAGGGAAGTAATTTTTTCAACTTTTATAAGCATAATAAGATCGTAATCAAAAAAGAAACTATTTATTTTGAAATAAAAAGTAAGCCAGCCTCCCGATATTAATTACCACTTCAGAATGCCTTTGTACTTACCAAACACAAAGTACAGAGATTAACTTTACTGCACATTGCAACAAGTATCAACAAAAACATGTTTGTGAAAGAACAAACTTATATAGCATTGAATAAAGAAATTTCATGAAAAACATTTACATTATAAACTTTGATAAAATCATACAAAATTCTCCGGAATTGCTTTAAATGAATACAAAAGACTACAAATTATATACAACAATGGCTTACAAACCTTTTTTCAGATTATTTTTTGATTTTCAATTTTTTTACTTATATTTATTTGCATTTATTATTAAACATACATGTAATATATTACCATTGCTCAAATATTTCCAGTACATCATTTAACTTAAATAAATCAACCTCTGAACAATGTAAATTGAAAAAAACAAACACAAAATAACACGCATACGTTCTATTTCAATTGTTCTAATCAATCACTGTGTATAACATGACAGACCAACACGACCTAATAACTTGTAAATATTCAATAAACCACTCTCAATAAATTTACCTCAAACTTAAAAACACGTCCGAAACTATACCTACATGATTAGTTATAAACAACGTTTGTATTTAAATACGTATATTATTATATATACGTATATATAAATGTATAGCCTTTGACCCGTTATCACCAACATGCATACGTAATACCGTGTTTCAACGCTCCATGTGGTTGATCATGTGATATCTTGTTCAATATGAAATTTTCAAAAATTTTTAGGGCCATTTTTTTAGGGTTAGGGGTAGTTTTATAATAAAGGGTATAAGTGGATTTTGGTAGGGTTTATATTTTTAAATCAAGGTCCCTAATTTCCAGCTTCAGCTTCAGCAGCGACAATTATTACAAGGGCTAAAGGAAAATATTACTACAAAACCTACAAAACATATTCTGAATGGCAGAAAATTAAAAAAGAACTATACAAGAGAAAAATGGCACTTTATAAAAAAGAATCAATGCCTTAGATAAAATCTTATGATGCTACAAATACCTAACGATATTTGAAAAGCAAGATTGACCAACAGTATCAACATTTTTGAACAAAAACCCAAAACTTGAAGATCTGACAAAAATATTCTCGAAAAATCACGAAGGAAAAAAGATTACGTACCGTATAGTTCCGAAAACAATAGCCAATATCATTACGTATAATGCAGACCAAAATTGGTATAATGCAAGCCAGGAGTGCTTTTTTATTTTCGGCTTTGCATTCCTGTATGTTTTTTCTGCTTGGAAAGTACCACATATCAAAATACGATAAACAAACAGAGAATAAATAACAACAGCAACAATAGAATACCTTATCTCTGAATATAAGAAGTTTTAGAGATTCCCGGAAGATCAAATCCGTCCATCTAATTGTTAACCATATCCGTAACAACGTATAACAAGTGACATGTTTGAAATCAAATTATGTAAAGTATGCACGTAAAGTTGATTTTAATGTGTTACCTATTTGGCGTAATATTTAATGTAACGTGATACATTAAATATGGGCTGCCGTCAATAGAAATAAGGCAGATTGACATTTTAAAAAAATTTATTACCTTACCTTTACCTTTCACAGATTTCAATATGCTACCTGCTTGGCGTAATATTTAATGTAACGCATAATCAAGTGACACATTAAATGGGCTGCCGTCAATAGAAATAAGGCAGATTGACATTTTTAACCTTTTCACAACCTATATTCTGAAGCTATCCTGATGATTTAGTTCAATGTGCTACTTGCTTGGCGTAATATTTAATGTAACGTGATACATTAAATATGGACTGCCGTCAATAGAAATAAGGCAGATTGACCTTTTAAAAAAAATATTACCTTTATCTTTCACAGATTTCAAGTGCTACCTGCTTGGCGTAATATTTAATGTAACGTGACACATTAAATATGGGCTGTTGTCAAGATTTTTAAAAAAATTACTTTCACAGATTATATTCCGATGAATTTTGAAGCTGTCCTGATAATTTAGTAGTCAAAAGAAGCTTACGTCTAAGTCTATTTTGACTATTAAATCATCAAGATAACTTCAAAATTCATCGAAATATGAGCTGTGAAGCATTAATTTTTTTAAAAATGTTAATCTGCTTTATTTTTAGAGAACTACTATTCGCACCATGGATTTTTGCTATTCACACCATGGTGACTAACATTATAAAAATCCACTTACCCTAACTCTAACTAATTCTGGTTATGATCTACGTACCATGGTGCGAATAGCAAAAATCCATGGTGCGAATAGCGGTTCCCTATTTTTATTGGCAACAAACCATATTTATGCTTGTCTTTATAAGGTGTAATTGTGGCTTTTAGATTTTTGCACCGTTTTTGAAATTTCAAATCTAAAATAGAAATTAAAATTAAATTGTTTTTTTTATTTAATGAATATCAAATTTTACACTGTTAAATTGTAACATCGTAATTTTATCATTTTTTTTTAGAATGTCTCTCTCTTTAGTTAGTTTTGAGCCATCTATTTATAACAATCTTAAAGATAGTTATCCAACTATCGCTGAACTGGTACAAACACATAATGAAGGAACATTAGCATTTCTCAAAGCTAATGACGCTTTATTTCCCTACGTTTTAAAGAAGAGTCTTGAAGTTAAAGAACCAGGTGATGATAATTACAAAACATGGACAGAATATCTCTCTGCTATAGAAGTTTATTTGGAAGATCTTTGTAATCAAGATAGTGTAAGACGATTTAAAGAACATTTAAGACCCGCAAGAAAAGAACTAGCTAATGAAATTCATCAAAAGCATTATGAAAGATTCCCTCTCTGGCCTCAAGTCGGACAAATTCAAAACTCTCATGTTGAGCTTGGAGTAGCTAACAATTATTCTAGTACTCCTTATATTATTATTTGGGCTTGTGTGGGGTGGATAAATGTGCAAGATTCACGTCCATATAAAGATAAATACATAGCTGAGTTTAATGGTAAACCAGATTTAAAAATTTTAGCATTAGATAATAGCAAATTACGCAGATTAGAGGAACTTTTTAAGTCAGATAAAAATAAAGCATTAGAGCAAGTTAGTAATCGCGGAAAATTAACATGGGAGGAATTGAAGTAAATGGTTTAGCATTTTTTTTCGATTATATTATGTTATTCAATTATCATATATAGTCAAACCTCCCTATAGTCACTCATATTTACTAAAAATTTAGCGCATTTGACGATTCATTTGAAATATGATAAAATTATAACTACTAAGCGTATACGTGGGGTGTAGGCAATAGAAACAACCCATTTTTTCAAATTTTTCAATTTTTTTTTATTTAATTTTTGAATAAATAACATTCAATAAAAACGTTTGCTTTAAGTTGCAAAAGCTAGTTATATAATAAAAAATTTCACAAAATGAACTAAGCTGAAAATTTTATGTCACTATATGGGGTTGAGTCAATAGAAATTAAGTAAATTTTTTCAAAATTTTGAATGACAATGACAATAACACCAACTTAATCAAATTTAATAAAATCTTTTTTAAAAATTTTTTATTAAATTTGATCAAGTTCTTGTTAAGTTATCAGCATTTAAAGTTTTAAAACAATTTAATAAAAAACAATTTGCTTGATTTCTATTGACTTACTCAAAATTGTTTATACTAGCAAGGCGAAACCACCGAGAATTAATTTACTAAATAAATAAATCAAATAAGAATTCAAACGAAATGTTATTTAACGACAATGTAATGAACTTAGTGAGATTACCTTAAACATATTAATTCAAATTTAATTAGCATAATATGCTTATTCATTTAATTAAATGCATATTAATGAATCTAGTCAGACTTTTCAAGATGTAAATTCGTAAATAAACACGATAGCCTAAATTCTAGTTTCCTTAATGGCATAGGGCCACATAGAAAATTATTAAATTACTACATTGCTACATAATTTTTGCAGAAGATCAAAAAAGATGGTCATCAATACGTAACGTTCTTTTGTCAAAATCATCATTACGTTCATTACATTCATTCGTAATTATAGACGTGTAATCAAATCAAGCTTTATAACAGATCTATAAACTGCGTCAACTTAAATGTGACATGGATTCAACGGGCGTCGATATATGAAATGAATAAATAAATGACCAATAGAAATATTGCAAGAATAGATAGATGAGAAAAAGTAATAAGATAGCTGCGCGAGGTTGTCACACGAAATCAGAAACGGAAGACGTGAGGAGTATCAGTATTGCATTTGGGCTGTTGCCCAGCAAAACCATGTTTAGAGTATATAAAAATATATAGTTTTGCTGGACAACAACCCATTTAGTAAATACATAGGTTGTGTATGTTTGGGCATGTGATGTACGGTGACGCAGATCCCTGAAGGACAAATAAATTTTAGGATCTTGTTAATTTTATCTTAAATACGAATGTTAGTCTTTATAGCAATGAGTTTTAAAAGAATTTTGTATTATTTGAATGTGTGTCAAGTTAGAGTAATAAAGGTGGTTATTTATCCGATTTTTGAGAAATAAGTATTTTTTGACAAAATTAAGGTTTGTTTTGTATTTTCTTGATGGTGTTAAGTTCCACTTGATCTTGGAATCTGATCCATAGTTCGGGAAATCTGTACCATAAGTCCTGGCACACATTCAAGACATGAAAGAATTTTGTTTATGCCACACATCTCATGCTGCAAATATATGCACTATGGTTACTTAATTGCAATGCAGATTTAAAATATCACATCGTTTATTATAGGTTAATCGGAATACCATCTTAGAGAAATTTGCATGTCACCTGTAATCCCTGTTCATTCATTATTATATTACTTTTTTATTATTTAGATAGGGTTTGTGCAAATGTATCTTTTTTTTGAAATGGTAACATTACAAATTCATACTATATGTAATATTTTTTCAATGTTGCTAACTTATTTAAATTTTGGTCTTAGTTTTCAAGAACTCAGATTGAAATACAGTTATAAAAAATGACTACAATATGAAATAAACAATTAAAATCCATGAAAATTATCTAGTAATACATGTTTTGATATGTACAGTACTCAACAAAAGTAATGCCTGATGATCAATTTTATAGTAAATTACATATAAAATCCTTTTTAGGAAATCTTGTTACCAAAAAAACAAAAAAAGGTGTTTATTTCGACTCAGTAAAAATTATACATTATAAAATATAAATATCAAATTTTCTAATCATATAAATTACAAAATATTTTTATTTTAAAACTTTTGATTTTTAACAATTTTAAAATTTTACATTTTCATTATGTTTTTACTATGTAAATTTTGTAAAATTTAATTGTAAGTTTTATGTTATATTAAAACTTATATTTTTTTATAAAATAATATTTTTATTTTATGTTGCCCTTAAAATATAATGACACTATTTTAATAATTTTAGTTAAATTTTTTTAAAAACATTTTTTTAAATTTTATATTCAATTTTAAAGTCAAATTTACAAATTTTATATGTTTTACATATAAAATTTTTAATCATAAACTTCATAATTTTAAAAAAAATAATTCTCAATTTGTTCGTCTCAGTGAAACTCAAAAATTATAGAATATAAACATTGAATTTACTAATAAAATTAAATTTTTTTTAAAAAAATAAAAAGAATAGTGACTTTTACCATTATATAAATTTCAATTTTTTATATGTTTTACTATGAAAATGATTATCGGGCATTACTTTTGTTGGCTACTGTACATGTACAATGTAACATTACATTTTGCATAAATGCCCTAAGCTTCCAATGTTAAGTGGGACTCGACTTGGTGTATCTAAGATTACAGATGCCCAAAACTCAACTGATCAGCAAAAGACAGTTACCGTAATACAGATATAATTTTCAAAAAATGTCGTTTGTGGAAATTGAACCTTAGACCTGCCACTTGAGGATTGACAACCTATCCACTTCACTAGATCACCACACCCCTATATATAATTATAGTTGATAGTAAGTATTATATAAATTAATTAATAAATTTATATTTTTTTTTCATAATTCTAAATAAATAAAATCAAAGAAATTAAAAAGATATTATTGATGTTATAATAATATTGTATGTGATTATAAGTAAAATAAATAATTAAGCTAGAGTCTGTGTAGGTAAAAAGCCTACTAACAAACTAGTTTAAAATTAAATAAAGAATGATATTAAATTAGTGTATAATAGAGTAATAAATAGAAAAAAAAAAATAGTTGAATGTATGATATTATATTAAAATCAGCTATACTTATCTAGATTAGTAAAATGAACAATTAAAAAAAGTTAAAACTAAAGTTTGTATAGATAAAAGCCCACTTACCAATTTATTTAATATTAAATAAAGAATAATATTGAATTAATATATAATAGGATAGAAGATAAAAAAAAATATATAGTTGAATGTATAATGTTACATCAGAATCAGCTATACTTATCTGAAAATAGCATAGTATAAACATTTAAAGCTTTTATAAAAGAATTAGCTCTATTATATAATTTGTAATAAAAAAATCCAATGCATTTGATTTATTAAATAGGTTTATATATTATTTTATAAAAATAATATAATAAAAAATTATATTTAAAGAAAATAAATCTGTAAAAACAGATTAAGTCTTTTTTTCTCATTTTGCAGTTGTATTAGAAGAAGTTTGATAAAAAAAAAAAGATAAATAAAATAAAAATAAAATATATTCAATTTAAAGTAAAATATAAAGTACTTATATAAAAGTTAGTACTTAAAATCTAATAATTATTAATCAGCTTTGCAATAGCCTTATTATTAAAAAATATTATGATTATCTAAAAGAAAGGTTTAGTTACAAAAAATTATAATACAAAAACAATCTAAGAATTAGTACTAGATAAAAGTTTTAAAAACACCTAATACTAGTAGTAACAATTTTAATAATATTGAGAATACTTATAGCATTAGCAATGAAAACTTGATGATATTAAAATTAGTGACACTAAAATAAATGTACTGAGAACTAAAGAAGTAAATAATGTTATTACAAGTTTCTTGCAAATAGAAAAACTCTCTTTTTCTCTTTATACTTACATTTAGTAGTAAAGAAAAAATAAAATAAAAAACAATTAAACCTATATTAAAATTTATTAAAAACTATACTACAAGAGCTAAATTTCTTGTGCTAAAAAAAAGAAAGTATTCATGCACTAATATGCTACACTTTCTCTTTATTAAGTTATCTGAAACACCTGTGTCCTACAAGAAAATCAGAACTTCTAACATTTATGAAGAAAAATTAGTTTAAGCTTAGGCCCTTTTAAGAGCTTATTAGAACAAACTAAAGTTCAAGTTTTAAATAGCCAAGAACCAAAAGCTTTATCAATACAAAAAGCAAAAGAAGCATATATAGTAATAAACTTAAAAGTCAGTGAAGCACTAAATAAAGAAAATACTAATTTCAAAAAAAATAATGATGCTTTGTTTATACTTGCTAACAACACATACATAGAGGTAACAAAACAAACCAAACATATGTCTTATAATAGCAACTCAGTCATATCTTAATTAGAAATTACAACTAATCAATCAAAACCAAGACAATAGTCTGATCTTTTTTCTAAGTTGAAAAGAGGAAAAGCCATCTATTTTACATTTTTTCTTAGAAAAAGAATCTATACTAAAAATGAAAATGCTTTAATTTTTGAAACTCAAAATTTAAAAAACATATCTATAGCAGACATAGTAGAAACAATGATAAAAAATTAGGTGACAATCTTATAGTAATAAGACTGATAGTTACTAAAAGCAGAAGAACTCATTTAGAAGTTATCTTTTCTGATAAGAACTAGCAACAGTACTATGCAGTAGAAGGAATCTCAATCTTTAAGCAGTCCATTTAAGATTATATTTCTGTTAATATTAGACAAAGCTTTCTCTCAGTAAGAATTAGGAATACACCAATAGGTAAAAAAGATTTTATCTTTGAAAAAATCAATAAAGCTTTTTAAGATGTAGGCACAATATTTTCTATTAAACCTTTGGTACACAAAGGCACTTCAGTTCTTTCAGATCAATAAGTAATTATTTTTAAGACTACAGATGACTCAGACCTAGCAAATAGAATTCTCAAATAT